GAGTTCAAGGTTGAGCTGGACAAGTCAGGATACTACACGCTCTACCACTCACTCCACCACTATAAGTACCACACCTTCCTGCGCTGCCGGGACCAGGTGAGTTGGTGCGCAGCGCGCAGCGCCCAGGGGCCCGCCCCTCATGGGCTCTTCCACGGACCCAGGGGTCTGCGACCCCCAGTGCCCCCTGCCCTCAAACCCAAGAGCCAGGTCCCCAGCCCCTCCGCCCCTAGACCCTGGGGTCCAGCTCCCAACCTATGTCTCCCCCTGGGACGTTAATCCCTGGGCCCCCCGCCTCCTCCCACCCCCGCCCCCCACCCCGCCCCCACCGTGGCCGCCTGCCACAGCCCCGCCTTTAAACCCTGCAGACCCTGGCCATCGAGGGCGGCGCCGAGGACCTGGGCCAGGAGGAGGTGGTCCAGCAGTGCATGCGGAACCAGCCGTGGCTGGAACAGCTCTTCGATTCCTTCAGTGACCTGCTGGCCCAAGCACAGGCCCACAGCCGCTGTGGGTGACCCACCCCGGCCTGGGGGGCGCACCTCCAACGTGAACCAAGACTTGGGGCAGAACTGTGTCCTCAGGCGCTACCCCCCAGGCCCCGCTGCCAGGGAAGGGGGGGTCGCTGGTCAGGGGGCGTCCGTGCTGCCCCCCCAGGGCAGGGTTCAGAGTTTGACTCGCCCCTCTCCCGAGCCCTCTCCACTCTCTCCCCGTTCCTCCCACTGTCCGGTGTACAGAGAAATTATTTATATATATGTATAAATGTCTATTTAGTAACGGTTTCCCTCTCCCCCTTGCCCCCCTCCCCCCTCCACGGCCATAGCCCCCACCCCCTCCACCTTGTACATAATGTATAGGAAAAGTCTATGTATGGTTGAGGGGGGTGGGGTGGCTTTAGAGAGCTGGGGGACCCCCTCACCCCCAAGTTCCCCCTTACAGGCCAAGATCTTTGCTAAAGGCCATTCCCTCCTCAGGGCATTCAGTGTCCGATGGGAAGGGGAAAACGCATCTTGTTAATTATTTTTAATCTTATTTATTGTACATACCTGGGGCGGGGGGCTGGGGAGGTGGAGGGGGGAGAAGGGTCCCCTCCCTTTGCCCCTCCCACTCCTTTTCTACTGCGATTTGTCTGTGTCTCCCCCCCCCCCAACACACACACACCACCCCCCTCCCATTGTCGTCTGGATGTGGTTCTATTTTTTATCGGTCTCTCTTCCTCTCTTCCCTCTCTCTAACCCCTCTGCTCCTACCTCCCCACCACCCGTTGTCTCTTGCTCTTTCTTGGGCTTCTGTACAACTCAACTTGTATACACTGTGTACACACAACCAGCCAAACGAAAACCCAACAGCAAACACTTTATCAGCAGGCTGGAGTGGCTCTGTCCTGCGGCGTCTGGTGGCCCCTGAGAGGGGCGAGGCAGAGGGTCTGGAACCTGAGTGTGGCCTCTCTGGAGCCCTGGGAGGTGGTTGGGCTGGCGACATTGTATCCATGGTGTCTCGCGGTGTAACAAAGAGCAGACCGGGAAATTTAGTGACTTCAAACAAGAAACACTTATCCTTGTATAGTTTCTGAGGGCCAGGAGTTCAGGAGCGGGTTAGCTGGGGGCGGGGGACAGGGGGCTGGCCCAGGGTCCCTCAGGAGGGTGGCAGTCACCAAGGACTGCAGTTTCAGGATCTGCTTTTGAGGGGGCTCGCTCGCATGGCTCTTGGTTGGAGGCCTCAGTTCTCTGCCACGCGGACATCGCCCATAGGGCAGCCTACGTGTCTTCGTGACGTAGCAGCTGGCTTCCCCCACTAGAGCGAGCGATCCAAGGGAGAGAGCAAGGAGGAGTCCTCGAGACTTTTTTGTCATCACGCACCGTTGCTTCTGCCACCTGTTCATTAGAGAAGAGTCATGAAGGGGCCTCGCACACAGGCAGGGAGAAGGGGGTTAAGTGCCACTTCGTGAGGGGAAAAGTATAAGCGTTTTTGATGCATTTTTATTTTTATTTACTGTCTTATCCTCATTTGAGGACATTTTTTGTATTGCTTCTAGAGAGAGAGGGAGAGAGAAAGAGAGAAACGGTGATGTGAGAGAGAAACATTGGTTGATAGCCTTTCACACGTGCTCCAACTGGGGATTGAACCTGCAACCTGGGTAAGGTGCCCTGACTAGGAATCAAACCCACAACCCTTTGGTCTATGGGACAGTGCTCCAACCAACTGAGCCACACTGGCCAGAGAGATGTATTTTTAAGCGAGTACAGGCAGTGACGGGAGTTGACCAGCTTTCCCTTGGCTCCCTAATGTAGACTTGGGAGGGGTCTCTGTGTCCTTGAACCCTGAGATAACAAGATCACGAGTGGACTGGCAGTTGAGAGGCTGGCACACAGAGGTGAGGCTGGACTCTATGCCCTTTGAGCTTCATGGTGACCCAGGACTGCTAGGAATGTAGACTGGGGCTCTTTCTCAGATCTGCTGGGTCAGAACCCACTTTTTCGTAGACTCTTGGGAGGATTCTAGTGCACATTCAAGTTTAAGGAGCAGTGTTCTCGAACAAGAACCAAAAACCCGGGGTCCATTCGGTAGTGTTCTAGAACCCAGCCTGTAGCGCAGTGGGCAGGCCGTTCTAGAACTGGATGCTTGTCATCAAAGATGGACTCTTGCTGTTCTAGAAACCTGGTGTCAGCACTGAGGATGGCTGGTCAGTGGGTAGAGACGCGGTGAGATACAGGGGTAGGTCATCATCCTGGACCCCCAGGAGAAATTGAGGAAGAACCACATTGTTCTAAAACGTCGGATGTTGTCTGGATTCATCACTGTGCTAATGAATATAGAGCCCTGGTGTTACAGGATGGCTAGTAACATTGGAGAACCAAGTGGCAGACTGTGGACTTTCTAGAATCATTTAAGAGCATTCTCTTGAGAATGGCCTGTTAGTGTCCTTGAACCGTGGCCTGTGGAATGTTGGAAGTATAGGCTCAGAGGGAGTGGCATATTCAAGGTCCTGATTTGGATGTCAAGTTGGGACCACAGTGTCCGGGGTCAGCATTGTCCCAGGTCAGAGCTCCGGGACAGAGAACAGATGGACAGAGAGGGGTCAGAAGGTGGGCAGTGGGTTAGAATAGCCTCGTGGTTGGCCTTTGTAATTCAGCTGCCCCAGCTGAGGCCCAGCTCTAGCGCTACCCAGGCAAGTTGGAGAACAGCTCCTGTCCACAGCCTTGTCGTCTGTAAAACTGACTTTTGTCAGGATGCAGGAAACGCGTTGGAAGCATTCAGCACTCCCCAGCACTTCGCTCCTGCTACCCATAGCCGGAGGCCTCTGGAGGTTTGTCAGGCGTCCAGGAGATCCGTTGAGAGACAGGACGACCAAGATGGGGAGGGAGAGGGACGTCAGAAGCTGGAGAGACGATCGTTGACAGCCCGCCAGAGTCCAGGGGAGGGCAGGGCGCAGGGAGACTCACGGGCGCACACACGTGCCCAGCGAGATGCCAACTAGGTCATCCCAGCCTCCTTGCTGTCCTCTGATGAGCTTTGGAATGGTGGTAGCTGCAAACCTTCCAAAAATGGCCTGCCAGTTGTTGTGTGGGTTTGTATGTGTGCCTTTTTTCTGGGGCAAATGGTAGCTTTCATCAGCTTCTCCAAGTGCCTCGAGAAGCAGGGTGTCCTGGCCAAGAACTTGGCCCTGTTAGGCAATGCAGAAAGAACTCTCAAACCTTGCACTAAGGGAGCGCCTCGCCCCTGGCTGGCCCTGAGGGGGAGGTTTCAGGTCTTGTCTGGAAAGCGCTCGGAAATGTCCCCCTGCCATCCCCTCCCTGGCCGGCAGAGATGGGCCCCTGGTGAGCGGAGGCGCTGTGGGAGGGGAGTGAACTCGCGGCACAATACGTCTGAGCCACGCTTATTCCCAGGGCGGAAGGTTGAACTCGGGCCAAGGATTCTGCGATAATGAAACCCGGAAAGGGATAGTCAGCTAATCATTGTTCTCATCTGGAATACAGAGGGACATTCATGGTTCTGGGGCAGGAGAACACTGGGGCCTCCGTCACTGAGGCCGAGCGCTTCGTATGTCCCAGGCGCTGTGCTCATCCCCCGTGTGCACGCTGGCTCCTCAAGGCCTCCTGCCCTGGGAAGCGGCTCTGTGGTCACCCGCATTTTACGGGTGAGAAGACAGGGGCACTCAACTGAGTTGGTGGAGCTGGATTTGAACCCAGGCAGTCTGCTGCCAGCACCCACAGTCAACCCGGGGTCCAGGAAATGGGTTCTGGGTGGGTGTGAGGGGAGCATCTGGGGGCCGAGAGCCTGTGGACACGTAGATGTGGGGGTTGGGGCAGCAGATCATTGACCGGTGACAGTTGATCAGGTGGAGGTCAAAGTTCCAGGGCCTGGGGACATCTGGGCTGAGGTGCCCGGCCTGGTGTGTTGAGCAGGTGTGGGGTTCAGAGGCGCCCGACAAATGGGCTTGCGTGGCGGGTGAGCGGTGGCCTCCAGGTCTGGCTCCAGCCTTCCAGCTTAGCAAATGGAGCACAGGATTTACGGGTTCTGGGGCGAACGCGGGGGGATCAAAGGCTTCCAAACTGAAGAGCATTGGCGACATATTTACCCCATGCCTCAGCCCCTCCCGGAGAGTGGCTCAGCTGGGTGTGTCCACACCGGCCTGAAGCTGGATTCAGGGTTTGGACTCAGACCTCAGCCCAACTGGGAACTTTCTGGAACTGAGAACTTGCCAGCTGGCTGCTCAGACACCAACCAGTCCACCTGTCCCTTTCTCCTCCAGCCAAAAAGCCTTTCAAAATATATACTGGAGGTGGGAGCGAGGCAGGCAGGGTTTGTAGAAGGTGCTGCCTGTCTCCAAGATCTGGGAACTTCTAGAACACATGTCCGTCGGCCCTTCTGCTGCGGCGGGAATGTTGCAGGTTTGCCCCGTGCGTTGGGGTAGGCTCTAGCCACTGTGAATAGTGAATTCTTGAAATGCAGCCAGGGTGACTGAGGATCTAATTTGGTAATTTTATTTAAACAGTTACACATAGCTTCTGGCTACCATATTGAACAGTGCTGTTCTAGAATGTAACAGAAACAAATTCCTTTTTAAACATTAAACCAACAAATGCCCACCGAGACAGAAAAGGGAGGAATGGCTCCGTTGGAGGGTAAGTTGGGGGAGCGGGGTCCGGACGCCTAATTCACCTCCTTCTCTATGGTGCCTGCCCCACCAAGCAAAGGGTGCTATGTCCGATGGTTCTAGGCGGGCCGAGGCTTCAGCGTGTGTACCCTGAGTTCGCCTACCTCCCCTAGCCCTTTCCCCTTTCACAAAAGCACTTCCTGATGTTGGCAGTGACGTTTATTTCTCTGGGGCGGGATTATATACAGCAGTGACCCGGATGCCCGGGGGGCCCCTCGCCCCCACCAGGCGCTCCGGTGGGGGAAGGAGGCATTGGCAGAAGGCACACAGTGGCACTGGCCCTCAGGCCAGGAGTTACGGGTGGGGGTGTAGTGTATCCTGGGAGATTTCCCAGGTAGGGAAACTGAGGCCTGGCAGGGGCAGCTGGTCCCTAGAACTTGTGCTGATCGTTCCCCTCACGGCAGGGCTACAGGAGGACGCAGGGGCAGCCTCTGTCCTTCTTCCTGGGGGCGCTGGGCGGGCTGGGTGGGAGCTCTTGTTCCTGGTACTTCCTGTAGGAAGAGGCTGGTGAGTTTGGGCCCCAGGGGCTGGGGACAAGGACGACGGCGGCGGGGGGCGGGGCGGGGGGGGGGTCCGCTCACCGGACAGCCCGCACCAGCTGCTCGAAAGCCTCGTCCACATTGAGGCGCAGTTTGGCCGAGGCCTCGAAGTAGGCCACGTGGTGGGAGGCACTGAAGGCGGAGGCTTCAGATCGGGGCACCTGTGGGGGACACAGAGAGAAGTCAGGGTGGGCCTCAGTGGGGGGGCGGGGCAGAAAGACGCACTGTGTGCGGAAATGGGGAGCTTACACACAATGGGGTTTGAAGTGGCGAGGGAAAGCTACAGAGATCACAGCGGGAGGTGCCCAGCGGACTCAGCGCCACCTAAGGAGCCTGCACAGAGGGTTGCCCTCCTGAGCGTTAGACAGCAGTTTGCTGGGCAGAGAAGTTGGAGCCAAACACCCAGGGTTGGAAATCCCCAAAGTCTCCATCTAAAAGATTGTGTCCTGTCTGGGAATCCCACGGTCTGTGTGTGTGGAGGGGGAAGTGGTGAGAGCGGAGAAAGGAAGGGACGAGGCCCTGGTGGGCATCCAGCGCCAGGTGGAAGAGTTGGGGCTTTTCTCCCTGGGGCGATGGGGAGCCGCGGAGCGCGGCGAGCGGGGGAGGGGCGCGGGCAGGGGCGGCGGGACGGAGCGGGAGGTGGACTGGAAGGGACAAACAGGAGGCTGCGTCGGCAAGGTGGGAACAAGAGGCGGGGTGGAGTCCTTTTGCCATCCAGCCGCCTCTCTTGGGAACTCCTGTGTGCAACGCTGGGGACTCAGAAGGTCCGACGCAGGGGCCAGGCATCTAGTGAGGTGTGTGACAATGGAGGGAGCAGGAAGCGGATGGCAGGAGAGGCAGGAGGGGCCTCCCAGGCTGCGCTGGAGTGCCCCGGGGGTCCCGGACCTGGCGCTGTGCCTCCAGATCGGCCTTGTTCCCAACCAACACAATGGGGAAGTCGTCTCGGTCCTTGACTCGGAGGATCTGCGTGAAGAGCTTGCCCACCTCGTTGAAACTGCGGAGGAAGCCAGGAGGGTGAGGTCCAGCTGCTCAGCCTGGTGTCCCCTGCTCCGCCGCCTCCCTGCTCCTCTCACCTCTGCCGATCGTTAATGGCAAACACCAGCAGGAAACCGTGCCCGGCACGCATATACTGCTCCCTCATGGCGCCAAACTCCTCCTGGCCCGCGGTGTCCAGGACTGCAGAGATGGGGAGAGGGTTACCATGAGCACGAGGCTCCCGCTGGCCATCCCCACGTGTCCTCAGCCCTGCCACTACCCCCCTCCCCCGGCCACTCTCTGCCCCCCTTACTGTCCAGCCGGGCAGGGACGCCATCCACTGTGCAGATCTTTGTATAGGAGTCTTCGATGGTGGGGTCATAGTCAGACACGAAGTAGGACTGGTGGGGTGGAGAGAAGATACTGTTACTCTGTTGCCCCAGCAGAGATGACATAGCCCTGTCCCTGGGGCCTGCCTTTCCCTGTCCCCCTCTCTTTGGCTCTCTCTCCCCCTTTCTGGCTCTCTGGGCCTCCCTCCCTGGCACCCCTCCCGCCCCACTCCATCTGTGAGCTCTCCTGGACCTCTCTTCCACATCGTGACCACCCCCTGGCTGTGTGGCATTGAACAAATCACTTCCCCTCTCAGAACCTCGGTTTCCTCATTTAGAAAATGAGGGTAAAAATAGCACATTGAATCCAGTGTTTGTGACATTCAGGGAAAACCCACTTAACATCTAAGCATTTAACACATCATCTGGACATAGTAAGTGCTCAGTTATTGGGAGCCGTGTTGTCCAGAATATGTGCCTGTTTATACCTCTCCCTCCTCCTCTTTTCCTCCCTTTTTCCCCCCCTCCTCCTCCCCCTCCTCCTCCTCCTCCTTGGGCGGCTTTTAGTGTCTCCTCCCAGGGGAAGGTCCGGGTTCCAATCCAACTGCGGAGAAACTGCCCCGCCTGCAGGCTGGGCCCCTCCCTTCCTGCCTGGGTCCTGCCGGTCTCTAGCCAGGCCTTTGACCGCTTTGAGTCTGCCCCTGGGGCAAGGGGCCCCGGGCTGGGGCGCTTTTCTCGATACAGGCTGGGGCTCCCAGGCAGGTGCTGGCGGGGGTCTCTTGAGGAGTCTGGGGCCCAGCGGCCTCTGCAGCATCATGTCAGGAGTAGACCCCTTTCTAGGGTTTCCCTGAGGCAGACAGGGTTTCCCTTTGGGAATGCGATGGAGGTTTCCTAGGCAGGGGTGGGTTTTCAGCAGAGAAGCAGTGATCTGACGGCTGGGGGTCTTAGGGCTGCATCCCGTCTGCGAGGGGAGGTGCTTGGTGAGGGCCTGTCCTGGAGAGAGGGAGTAGGGACCAGGCCTTGGGGGAATTAGGGGGCGTCTTCAGCGCATGGCAGGAGATACTCAGGGGTGAGAAGTGGGGTAATTGGGGCGTATTTGGGAGGTTTTTCATAGGACATATGTGCATGCCTAGAGTGTTGGAGGCCCTGACGTGCATTTACGGGATCAGAGACACTCCCCAGGAGTAGATATTTCTGGGGTATCAAGGATCTGGGGGCTTCTTTCATGGAGACAATTGGGGGCTAGCCAGGGTTTCTGAGAGGGGCTCAGGGAGCCGGAGTGGAAAACTCAACATGGAGGAGCAGTTGGTATTCCTTAGGGGAGAGTGGAGGTCTAGGTCTGGGGGCGGGGGTGGGGGAGCTCCAGGACTTGGGGTGTTAGAGTTCTCTGGAATGACCAAGGGGCGGGATCTTTCTGAACTCTCTTGGGTCTGCGAGGCCTCAGGGGCAGTGTGAGCATAATTTCTAGATTCTGGGGGAGGTCCCAGAAGGGGCTAAGCATCCAGTCTGGGGGCATCTCAAGGGGTCTGGTTACAGGCGTTCTCCCAGTTAGGCTCTGAGTAGCACAGAGGGGAAGCTGGGGTGTGGGATTTGGGGGAGATGGGGCTCAAGGTGAGGGGAAATGGCATCTACAGGGCGGGGGCACAGGAGGGGGCTTAGGGTCTGAATGGGGCGACTCATGGACTTAAAGTGCCTCCAGGAGGTGCTCAGGGTCAGGTCGCCCGAGATGGGGGATCTTGGGTCTTGGGAAGAGGGACTTCCACATCTGAGAGTCTCAGGATATAAGTATAGAAGGTGGGTCTCTCAGGTCACATTCTGAGAGTAATTTTTAAGATTAGAGGGCCTCATAGGAGGGTCTCAGTGATGGATCGAGGGGAAATCGGGGTCTCAGGGATCCTCCCAAGGGCTACGTGCTGTGTCCCGGGGACACCCCCCCGCGTGAGGGCCCACTACCTGGATGAACTGGATGGTCAGCGCACTCTTGCCCACGCCGCCGCCGCCCACGACCACCAGCTTGTGTGTCTCGCTGGGTGGGGGGTCCCCGGGTCCCGGTCCCCCGCCCCGGGGCCGCCCCCGCCCCGTCCCGGACGCCGCCCCGCTGCTCATGTCGCGTCCGCTGCCGCCGCCGCCGCTACCGCCTGGGGGGAGCCGGGCGGGGCCTAGGGGTGGGCCACGCTAATAAGCCTACTGCATAATTATGAGCTCCGGGAAGAAGGACGCAAGTCTCCGTACACTTAAGGAGGAGGTAAGGCCAGGGAAAAGGAGGAGCTATGCTAATAAGGGCTGGCGAACGCGGTACGCAGAGAAGGGGAATTCCGAAGAGGCGGGGATATGCTAATAAGAAAACTGTGCTTACCCCGAGCGGCGCCACGCGCTCAGGGCAGCCGGGCCGCCTGGGGGCGGAGCTATGCTAATATGAGCTTATTCTTTCTGCAGATGGGCCGGAAAGATTGTTTCGGGAGGGACTATGCAAATAAGGAACTCTGTGTTGTAGCTTCTCAGGGTACCTTGCCCGAGGCCTTGTTCTAGTAGGCGGGGCTCGCCGGCTCGTGAGCGGCCGTATAAAGGCTCGGACCGAGGAAGGAGCAGGTCCTGGAGGGGAAGCTCCACCTCCGTCCTGGGATCCAGCCAAACTCCCGACCCGAGCGTCTGGGCTGGATGTCAGAGTCTCCGCCCGCTAAGGGACCCAGGCTTCCGGTTCCCGCTGTCCCAACCAAGCGGAAGACAGATTGGGAGGGGAGCTGGGGCCCTGGAGGAGGACAGCCGCCTAACGGGGCAGGGAGGGGCCGTGAGATCACTGCATTCCTAATCCATGAGCCAGTTCACCCAAGCCGGGACGCCTGGGTCATGAAGGGCCTAGAGCCAGGATTTCTGGGTCTTTGAAGGAGGAGGAAGCTGACGGCCCAGACTCCTGAGTCCCTAGGAAAGAATGGGGCTGGAGGCCTGGATTCCTGTATCCCGGGGAAGACGGGATCTGGGGGTCCTTATTATTAGGACTATCCATGTACCGTCAAGGAGGAAGCCGAGGGCCCAGATTCTTGGGTCCAAGGGTTGGAGGGGCTGGGGACCCAAATTCTTGATCCCGAGGGAATTGAGGGGTGGGGAACAGGAACACCTGTGTTCGTGTAAGGTAGGAGCTTGGGACCAGAATGGCCTGAGGGCCCGACTCCTAGATCTAAAGGAGGAAGAGGGCTCGGACTCCTGAGTCCCAGGGAGGAGGGAAATGGGAGCCTCCTCTGCCGAGAGGAATAAAGTTTTGGATGTTTTCTATCCTAAATAAGGAGGCAGTTGGGCCGGCCTTCGTGGTTCTAAATTTGGAGGAGTCTGAGCGATCAGGATTCTGGGCTCCCTAGAATGTGGGCGGGGCAACTCGCCAGCAATCCAGCATTTTTTCCCAACTGCCCACTCCACAGAACTACAACTCCCTTGCATCTGTCCCGCTAAGTGCTCTTTACGTCATTTCCTGCTCTTCAGCTCTTTCCGCGCGCGCAGGGTATTGTGGGGCTTCATCGCGGACCACCGCAACCCCGCCCACTTCACCTCTCACCCCCTTGCTGTCTCCGCGTGACGGAGGCGACGCGCGAACTACTCCTCCCGGCGTGCGTCGCGCGCAGCCCTGCCCAGGTGCCCCGTTGGCTGTTGGGAAACTGAGTCCGGAGCCTTCCCACCAACCTTCACGGCACCGTGCACGGTACTTGAAGTCCCGGCAAGCTCGGCGGCGCTTTAGCTCCGCCCCTCTCCTCCCTCTGCTCACGAACCTCCCCAGTCCGCCCCGCCCCGCGCCGGGGCCGGAGCCGCAGCCCGAGCGGCGGGGTAAGATGGCGGCGGTGGTCCGGGCCGCGGGGCTCGGGCCTATTGGGGTGGGCGGGGCGGAGTCGGGTCGCTAGAAGCCCTGCGGTCCTCTCCACACTCCACGGAGCTTGAAGGACTTAGTGGGGTGGCCTCCGGCCGAGCAGCTGCGGCGGAGCCTGGAGCCGAGCGGGGGCCTTCTCAAGGCCCCGGGACGCGTCTCCGGGTGCCGGGGGCATCTACGGGGCGTCCCCGTGAGAACTGGGGACGTCCACAAGGCCTGGACCGAGATTGGCGCCAGCCCTCCATCATATAGCCGCCTTGGGTCATTTCTGTAGGCACTGTTGATCGTCTTTATGGGCTGACCGGAGTCTAGGGTCTGTTCAGAGAGTTCTGGGGCCATCTTGAGATCTTGAGACATGTCCCAGGGGTGAAGGAGGTCTGCAGGAGCTGAGGAGTATCTGCTGAGCCATCTGTAGCTCTGGGGTATGTCGGTTGGGGCTGGGAAGTGTCTGCATGGGCTGACCTGAGGATGCCACTCACCGACATGGGTCTGGGGCCATTTAGCAGGCCTGAAAGAACTGCTCCTGGATTAGGAAGTCGTTTAGGGGTGGGATGTGGTCGCCAAAGGAGGGAGACAAATACTGAGATGTGCCGAAAGGCCTGGATGGGTCTCCAGCGTCTGGGGAGTGTCTGATCTGACTGACAGAAGGCTGGAGGCACTTAGAAGGACCTGGAACCATCTCTGGGGCTTTTGAGTGTGCCTGCAAGAGTGCAGTCTCTATGTCTGGAGCAAATACAGATGCCTTTGGGGGCCAGATATTCAGACGGAGAATAAGACAAAGGAGAGTATTGGAAAATTTGCGGAGCTCAAATGTACTTGCACTTTAGAAGGTAATTCAAACGGACAATGTTTTAAAAGTCTGCGTTGTCCTGGGGTTCTAGAGAGAGTTAGAACTAGTCCACTAGTCCCGGAAAGTCTGTAGGATCACCTGGACATCTAGTGCAGTGCTTTTCAAACTCTTTTGACCTTGATTTACAGTAAGAAAAAACTTTTCATTGAGATTTACTACTTACCGACATGTATAGTTAACTAATGCCCGTGTCTCATTGGTATTTCCTCATACTACTTCTGGTGTACTGTGAAAGATTTTCTACCCTGTTCGATTTGTTTTTTGTAACAAGCTATTTGTGAAGCGCTCTACTACTTTTAGTGGGAATCATTCACTGATCTAGAAGGACCTAGCAAGGTCTGCAGAACCTTATCATGTCAGAAACACCTAAGCAAGGAGTCACTGGTATGTGTGTCTGCAGAGCCTGGGGCATGTCCGAATGGGCAAGGGAGTGTGTCCATACCCACTGAGGGTCTGGGATCTCTGTGTCTGTAGTCAGCAGATCTTGATTAAGCTTCTGTTTTGTGACAGTCATTGTTCCCTTGGAGGTGCTGAAGAGCAGTTCCGGGCCGGGAACTGGCCTTAGGGCCTTATCAGGGTGGGTGTGAATGTGAGTTAGGGAAGGAGCCTCAGGCTCTTAGAGAGCCGGGAGGTTGCATGCGGAGCGTCAGCAAAGCTGGAAAACCTGATAGGAAGGAGATTGGGACTGAGGTCTTTTCTTGGCTGTTATGCAGCCCGGAAAGCGGGGAGGAAGACGTGGGGGAACCTGGGCCCTAAAGGCTAATAAAATGATAATTACTGTTCCCCTGTGTTGAGCACTGAGCTGAGATAACTCCCTGGCAGAAGTGTCTCCTTTCAGTCCTCCCTGCTGTTATCTGAGGTAGATACTCTGATGGTGCCAGGTAGAGCTATGCACCCTGAATTGGGGGTTAGGGGTTTGAAGCTTTCTAGGAACTTTGAGACTGGGTAATGTTTCAGACTAGCAGGTTGGACAGTTGGAGGGACAGCTGAAATATTCCTCTTTTCTGCAGCTCTAAGTGAGACAACTGCCAGCCCGAAAGATGATCTTTTAACTTCAGTACAATCTAAGAGTTTTTGCGACATCGCCAAAGCTTCGGCCATGTTTTCATGCAGTGAGCAGGTCGGCCCTAGGTGATGTCCCCCTGGGGTCTGGTGGACAGCATGCCTTTCTGAAATTAGTCTTTTGATTTCAGAAGTGGCATACAAGTTTTGTAAATCACACCGCCATAGTTCCATCTTATCTTATGTGTATAAACAGTTTTGGCCCCACACCATCGAGGAAGATTGACGCTTTGGGCAGTTGTGTTGTGTTTGAGGCGCACCCAGCACGCTGGCGCATAGCTCATTTTGGGAAAGTTGTACACATGAGACCGTGGAGCCCGCTATTTGAAATCACAACTCAACAGAAGAAATCTTGGCACTGGGCTGGATCCCACGAGGGTGGACCTTGGGGTCATAAGTTGAGTGGTGGGGAAAGCTGTGGGAACTGGGGAACGAGGTGTTGCAATTGGAGGCTGGGAAGGCCTCCCTTTGACAGAGGAGGCAGCTGAAATCCAGACACGGGAAGAGAATCGTCCGGCTCCCTCTGGTGTCCGCACTGGACCGGGTGCGCTCCCAAGGACTAGGGCGAGGTGGCGGGGCTCCTGAAGAGGATGCGGGTTGAAGCAACAGTGGAGACCCTTGCGGTCTTCGTGACCATTTTCTGCCTTTATCCCTGCCCCCTGTCCTCCCGCCACATGAACACACACACACACACACACACACATACACCCCACCCCCTCCCCCGGCGCTGCTGGCCTGCACTCCAAACCCTCACCCCCTCACCCCTAGGTGACCATGGAGGAAGAAGATGAGTCTCGAGGGAAGACAGAGGAGTCGGGTGAGGATCGGGCTGAGGGTCCGCCGGACAGAGACCCCACGCTTTCTCCTACGGCCTTCATTCTGGTGAGGCTGCCAGCCCCCTGGGGCCAAAGGAGGGAGGGGCTGAAGGGCTGGATTCCACTCGAGCCCCAGTGGGAGGAGGGGCTGCAGGCCTAGACTCTCGGCCCCTCTGAAGGCTTTGAGCCTGGTTGTAGGGCGTCTAGAATGCCGATCTCCCAGGAGCAGAGCTTGTGGCCATTTGCACGAGTCCCCTGACGGCTGCCCTTTCTTTCCACCCCCTCCACCCCCCCATCTTTTCTTTAGCGGGCCATTCAGCAGGCTATGGGAAGCTCCCTGCAGGGGGATCTGGCGAATGATAAAGGTATGCTGGGTTCCGGTTCCCCTTAGCTCCCTGCCCCATCTCTGCATTCTTTATCCCAATTTCATTCACGTACTTTTCTGAGGTCTCCTGGGTGCCACCCTCGTGCTGGCACGGGAGCTAAAGATGCGTCGAACCCCCCACGGCTGCCTTGGAGGGGCTCCCAGTCTGGTGGAGGTGAGGCAGCCACAGCACAGAAGTAGCCCGCGGTCCCCTGGGCGGGCAGGAGGCCCAGCTAAGCTAGCATGGGGGAGAAAGGGTCCAGGAAGGCTTCCTAGAGGGGGTGACGGGCGAGCCGGGTCTCTGAGAACATAGTAGAGTTATCTGCTGAAAAAGAAAGTGCAGTGGAGGCAACAGCGTGTGCACAGCACAGGGGCACGGTGCAGGACTGAGCATGTGCTTAGGGGCTGGTGGGCGGGGTGTGGGAGAGGAGGCAGTAGAGGTTCACGGGGACAGGGTCACAGCCTGGCTTGAATGCCGAGCTGCCCTGTCCGGACCTCATCCTGAGGGTACCTACAGGAGGACAGGTGGATGAGAGAGTTGGAGCCGCAGAGGGTGTTGGGGAGGTCCTTCTGGGACCCACGTTGGGAGGCGGTGGTTGGAGGCTGGGTGAGCAGGTAGGAGCTTGGTTCCCTTGTCAAGAGGGAGGGCGGTCTCCTTTTTCCTCTGCCCCATAAGATCTCTGCATCTAGTCCTCTGTCCCTAAACCACCATGCACAATCTCTCTCCAGATGGCTCTCGGTGTCATGGCCTTCGATGGAGGCGCTGCCGGAGCCCCCGGTCAGAGTCCCGTTCCCAGGAGGCAGGGGGAGCTGACACAGCTGCTGTGAGTAAGGAGGGGACGGGGCAAGACAGGCCTTGGGCCTGGACCCCTGAGATGGGGAGATGGGGCTGGGGATCTGGACTCCTGGGTCTGGGGTGCTCCTCGGGGCGGTGCTAGAGGGCCTGGGGGCCGGGCCAGGGTCCCGGAGGCAGTCAGGGTTAGGGAGTTGGTTGACTCCCTTCATTTTCTTGGCATCTGTTCTTGAGAGGTTAGGGACTGGGGAAATGGGACTTGTGGGCCCTCACACGTTCGGGGTCGGAGTGGAGCCTTCCCTCCCTATGCCAGGCTTTGGACACGGCTGCAGACAGCTTCCTGGCTGGGTTGGTGAGCGTCCTGGATCCCCCAGACACCTGGGTTCCCAGCCACCTGGACCTGCGGCCTGGCGAGTGAGTAGTTGGACAGCTGGAGTGGGAGGGGCCTTGGAGTGGGAGCTGGGAGCACCCCTAAGGCTCCCTCACTCCTTCTGTCTTGCAGAAGTGAGGACATGCTGGAGCTGGTGGCCGAGGTCCGCATCGGGGACAGGGACCCGATCCCTCTGCTCGTGCCCAGCCTTCTGCCTCGTCTCAGGGCCTGGAGGACGGGCAAAACGGGTATGTGTGGCCGGGGCAGAGCCGGGCAGGTTACTGGCCTCGGCTTTGCGTGAGTCAGCTCTCGTTAGAAATAACAGTCATGGTCCTGTCAGTTAGACGGTCTTTATTTTAAAGTCTTCTTTCCTGTTACATTGTAGTAAGTGTTAATGTACATACACTCACTACACGTAAGATGTGCGTAAACATCGATGTAATGGCTACCACGTGGGAGCAGTTAGCGCGTGAGAGGCCCTCCGTGTCCAGGGTTCTACATGAGTGTCAGTGCATGGGGCCTGGTCTCCCCAGGAGGAGGCGCTCTGAGCATCTCCATCCTCCAGAGCAGCGGTCCCCAGCCTTTTTGGCACCAGGGACCAGTTTCGTGGAAGACAGTCTTTCCATGGACAGGGGCAAGGCGAGTGGGGCGGGGACAATAGGCGGAGCTCAGGTGGTAATGCTTGCCCTCCGCTCACCGCCTGCTGTGCAGCCCCGTTCCTGCCAGGCCAGGACTGGGTCAGGTCCGGGGCCTCGGGGGCTGGCGACCGGTGTTCCAGAGGACAGAGGGCTGAAAGAAGGGAATTGCTTGCTCAAAGTGACACACAGTTGTTCAGTGGGGGTCCTGAGCTCCACGCCCAGGTGTGTCTGAGCATAAAGCCCAAGCTGTTGGTTTTTGTGATGTGCGCCTGCCGAAGTGGAAGCCCGCACCCGCCCTCCGTGCAGCGGTGAGCAGGGTGCCCGCGGGCAATGTCGAGCAGAGGTTCTCATGCTCCAGCCGGCAGCAGAATCACCAGGAGGACTTCTTGACGCACAGGTTGCTGGGCCCACCCTCGGGGTTCCTGATTCAGCAGGTGTGGATTTTGCATTTCAAACTAGTTGATGCTAACCAGTTGCATTTCTAACCTGGTGACGCTGTTGCTGCTGTCCCCCAGAACCCCCATGAGACCCTGGGTTCAAACTTCTCTTCTGCATGTCCGTACACTGGGCGGGGGGTGGCGAGTGGGGCGCAGGTCTGGCAGCAGGTCAGCTACAGCGCACTGTAGCTCGCTTGCCCTCGGGGCCAGCTCTCCGTTTCCTGGGCCCTTTTTTACAGCTGCAGTTTTACTTGCCTGTGAGGCCCAGGGGACATGGTGCCGAGAGCCCACCATGCTCTTAGGGGCCCACAAAAGTAACTTCCTTCCTTTTAAAATTAGAAGCCACGGAGGATAAGTAAATGAATTGGCGGGGGGGGGAGAGTGTTCCAATAAAACTTTATTTGCAAAAACAGATGGTGGGCTGGACTTGGCTCCTGGTCTTTAGCATTAGGTGTACGTAGAAGATAGTAGTTGTTTTTTTGGTCTTCGTTTGGAGAATACTAAGAACTTAGGAAAAAGAAAAGAAAACTCACTCTTCTTCCTGTGTGAAAAATTATATAAGGGAGTAGTTGGCTTGATTCCAGTCCACTCCAGCCTATAGACTTTTACATACGCTTCAGGTCGCGGGGGTAGTAACCAGGGTCCTCGGCGCTCACACCCACCGAGTCCTCACGATGCCAGGCGCGGTCTGGTTCTTTCCGTGCAGTTGCTGACGTGGCCCTCTCACCTTGGCGAGGCCTCAATGCTCCCATCATCATCATCATCCCCTGCTTTATTTTCCTCCAGAGCTCTCAGCAGCTGGCGGACTCCACGCTTGGCACGTTGATATTTCTCTCCCCTCTCGAATGTGAGCTCCTTGAAGGCAGGAACTTTTGTCTGTTTTGTTCACCATTCTATTCCCGGTACCTAGAACAGCACCTGGCACAGATAGGTGATGGATACAAATGTGTTGACTGAATGCACGAACCCCCGCTTCGTAGATGAGGAAACTGAGGCAGACAGAGGTTGAGTGACTTGCCCGTGGTCAGGTCACAAGGGAGGGCCAGAGCCTGGGAACCTCATCCGGAGGTGGCTCCAGAGCGGCCCCCTCCACCCCGTGCTTTCCTGCTCCTGTCCCCGCGACACTGCTGGTGTCCTTGCCGGGGGAGGTCCTTGCTGTCACGTGGTTGACAGCGGGGACTCTGGACTCTGGTACGCGTGTCCGAGTCCGGGCCCAGACGCCCGCCCAAGGCACAGGGCTTGTGGCGCTGAGACTGGTGCTTAGAAAGCAGGGTCTCAGGAGTATGGGTGAGGTGACACAGGAGAACATGGTGGCCCCCAGGAAGGGGTGGACTCTGATTGTCCCTGTCACCAGTCAGTATTTTCTCTGAGTCCCGAGCAGATGCAGCCCCTTGGGTGGGGCTTGTTGCGCAGTGAGGAGCGAGCTCGGAGTGGGACTCGGGCCGCCAGGGCGCCCTCGCTCTGCCCGTTCCTGGCTCTGCAGTGGGACCTTCGCCTTTCTGGGCTCCCATTATTCTCGCTATAAGGTGGTATAAGCTCCTGCAAGAGCAGCTGGCTCAGCGGCCCGAGCTTGGCCGTGCAGGTGGTCGGAGGTTTGAACGCTTCTCTCCCGCACCCGCCTGCACCCTCGGCGGTAACGCCGCCGCCCTCAGTGGTCAGGGTGGTCTTGGGTTGGGGGCCAGCGCTCATCTCAGGATGTGGGAGCGTAGACCGAGGGCCAGGCTGGCCAAGTTTGCACCCTGACTCCTCCCCACTGCCTGTGTCCTTGGGGAAGCTACCGCAACTCTCTGTGCCTCAGTTTCCTCTTGGGACCCTCGGGTCACAGTGTCCGTGGTGTGGAGTGTTAGGAACGTCCTGTGAGCTGGCACACGTGAAGCACTGGGGGCAGTGCCTGCAGGTGCAGTGAGTGCCGAGCAGGGGCGCGGGGGGCACAGTGGACGCCGGCTGGCCGGCAGCTCCCTCTGCTGGGGGGCAGGGGGCAGGGACGGGCACCTGACCACAGTGCTCCGTCTCCCCTGTTCCTTTGCAGTTTCTCCTCAGTCTCATTCTTCTCGGCCCACCTGTGCCCGCCACCTCACCTTGGGCACTGGAGACGGGGGCCCTGCCCCACCCCCTGCCCCTTCCTCTGCGTCCTCCTCGCCTTCTCCATCCCCTTCATCATCCTCCCCTTCCCCTCCTCCTCCCCCACCACCCCCAGCCCCCCCAGCCCCACCTGCCCCCCGATTCGACATCTATGACCCCTTCCACCCCACCGACGAGGCCTATTCCCCACCACCCGCTCCGGAGCAAAAGTACGACCCCTTTGAGCCCACTGGCTCCAACCCCAGCTCATCGGCTGGGACCCCCTCACCTGAGGAGGAAGAGGAGGAGGAGGAGGAGGAAGAGGAGGAGGAGGAGGAAGAGGAGGAGGAAGGCCTGTCCCAGAGCATCAGCCGCATCTCCGAGACCCTGGCGGGCATCTACGATGACAATAGTCTGAGCCAGGACTTCCCAGGTGATGAGAGCCCCACCCCGGACCCCCAGCCCCCGCAGTCGACTGTAGCTGCTGGCACACCGCCACAGGCAGACTCCACCCGGGTGGACGGAGCCACCCGCCGGCGAGTCTTCGTGGTGGGGACCGAGGCGGAGGCCTGTCGGGAAGGCAAGGTCTCCGTGGAGGTGGTGACGGCCAGTGGAGCTGCGCCGCCGCCCCCCTTGCTGCCCCCTGGCGACTCAGAGATTGAGGAGGGTGAGATCGTCCAGCCCGAGGAGGAGCCTAGGATGGCGCTGTCCCTCTTCCGGGCCAGCAGCCGGGCTGCCCGCCCTCCTCCTGCAGCCCCAGCCGCCCCCACGGCCCAGCCCCCACCCCCGCCGCCTGCCCCCCGAGCCCCTGAGGGCGACGACTTCTTATCTCTGCACGCTGAGTCAGATGGTGAGGGTGCCCTGCAGGTGGACCTGGGTGAGCCGGCGCCCGCACCCCCCCCCACCGACGCGCGCTGGGGCGGCCTGGACCTCCGCCGCAAGATCCTGACCCAGCGGCGGGAGCGGTACCGCCAGCGCTCACCCTCCCCAGCCGCCGCCGCCCCAGCCGGCCCGCCTGCCCGCAAGAAATCCCGGAGGGAGCGCAAGCGCAGCGGCGAGGCCAAGGAGGCCGCCTCTTCCTCCTCGGGTGCGGCGCCCGCCCAGCCGGCCCCAGCCTCCCCCTGGGACTCCAAGAAGCACCGCTCCCGGGACCGCAAGCCAGGCTCCCATGCCTCCTCGTCCACCCGCCGCCGCTCTCGGTCCCGCTCAGCCCGCCGCCGCTCACGCAGCCCCGACCGCCGCCGAGGGGGCAGCCGCAGGTCCCGGTCCCGGGAGAAGCGGCGACGGAGGCGGCGCTCGGCCTCCCCGCCCCCGGCCACCTCCTCCTCCTCGTCCTCCAGGCGCGAGCGGCACCGAGGCAAGCACCGGGAAGGCGGCAGCAGCAAGAAGAAGAAGAAGCGGTCTCGGTCCAGGGGCGAGAAGCGGTCGGGGGACAGTGAGAAAGCCTTGGTGCCAGCCCAGCCGCCCTCCGGCTCGACTTCCTTGAGCGGGGAGCGTGACAGCCGCCGACGGGGGGCCGTGCCGCCCTCCATCCAGGACCTCACGGACCACGATCTCTTCGCCATCAAGCGGACCATCACCGTGGGCCGGCCGGACAAGGCTGACCCCCGAGGCCCCTCACCGGCCCCTGCCTCGTCGCCTAAGCGCGAGGTCCTGTACGACTCGGAGGGACTGAGCACTGAGGAGCGGGGGGGCAAGAGCAGCGAGAAGGACAGGCGCCGCTCTGGGGCCGCCGCCACCTCCTCCTCCTCCCGGGAAAAGGGATCCCGGCGGAAGACGCTGGATGGGGGGGATCGGGACCGGGACAGGGACAGAGATAGGGACAGGGACAGGTCATCCAAGAAGGCCCGGCCCCCCAAGGAGTCGGCGCCCTCCTCAGGGCCCCCGCCCAAGCCACCGGTCAGCAGCGGCTCCGGCTCCTCGTCCTCGTCCTCGTCCTCTTCCTCCCGGAAGGTGAAGCTGCAGTCCAAGGTGGCGGTGCTGATCCGGGAGGGTGTCAGCAGCACCACCCCGGCCAAGGAGGCCGCCTCGGCCGGCCTGGGCTCCATTGGAGTCAAGTTCAGCCGCGACCGGGAGAGCCGCTCCCCCTTCCTCAAGCCCGAGGAGCGGGCCCCTGCGGAGGTGGCCAAAGCCGCTCCGGGCAGTACCAAGCCCAAAAAGACCAAGGTTAAGACTAAGGCTGGGGCCAAGAAAGCCAAGGGGACCAAGGGAAAGACCAAGCCATCCAAGACCAGGAAAAAGATCCGCAGCGGGGGCAGCAGCGGGGGCACCGGCGGCCCTGTGACACTGAAGAAGTCCAAGGCAGATAGCTGTAGTCAGGCGGCGGGAGCCAAGGGGGCGGAGGAGACTTCCTGGTCCGGGGAAGAGCGGGCAGCCAAGGCCCCCAGCACCCCACCCCCCAAGGCAGCCCCTCCGCCCCCTGCCCTCACGCCGGACTCGCAGACTGTGGATAGCAGCTGTAAGACGCCTGAGGTCTCCTTCTTGCCTGAAGAGGCTGCTGAGGAGGCTGGGGTCCGAGGTGGGGCAGAGGAGGAGGAGGAAGAGGAAGAGGAGGAGGAGGAGGAAGAGGAGGAGGAAGAGCAGCAGCCTGCCACCACCACGGCCACCAGCACGGCCGCAGCCGCCCCGAGCACCGCCCCCAGTGCGGGGTCCACAGCTGGTGACTCAGGGGCGGAGGACGGGCCGGCCACCCGCGTCTCTCAGCTGCCCACGCTGCCCCCGCCCATGCCCTGGAACCTGCCCGCTGGTGTGGACTGCACCACCAGTGGCGTCCTGGCCTGTGAGTGTCCCCTGGGGGGGTGGCCAGGGCATTCGGAGGCACAAAGGGTCTTAAGGGGACAGGCAGGGAGGCATAGGAGGTGTTTTGGAAGGGCAGTGTGTAGTGACCGGGCCTGGAGGGCCGCCGGTGGGCGAGGGCCCATCAGGGTCTGCCCAGGAGGCTTCTAGACCTTTGGGGGCGATGGAGGGGAGGCCCGCTCTGCACAGGCCAGCGGAGTGGGACGTGGCCTAGGGTGCTCCTAGAGGTGGACTGGCTTGGACGTAGTGCAGGGGCCAGAAAGAGTGGGGGGAGCAGGAAGGCGTGTCCCCTAGGCGATGGCAGTGGCCTCTGCCCCATCACAGAGGTGGGAGAGGGCCCAGGGCTGGCTGCAGGGACTCGGGACAGACTCCCCCCTCAGCCGGCACTCTGTCGCCACGGGGGCCTGGCCGCAGCGCTGCCCCGACGCCCGTGCGCTTTGAGTCCCCAGAGCACTGCGGTGTGGGCTGCGTTTTTCGGTGGCCGGGGCCCCTTTTCTTCGTTCAGAGCCTGTGGCCTCAAGGCCTGTCCGGGGGGCGCAGGGCAGGAGATGGCGGTGCGTGGAGAGGTGAGGTTCACGGTCTCGTGTGCCAACCCCGCTCTCCCTGTCACCAACTCTCCGCCTCCTGCAGTGACTGCACTTCTCTTCAAGATGGAAGAAGCCAATCTGGCAAGCCGGGCAAAGGCCCAGGAGCTGATCCAGGCCACCAACCAGGTGTGCTCCCGGGGAAGAGTCCCCACAGCCCCTGTCCCGTGCCTTGGGGTAGGAGAGGGGCTCTACAACTCCCAGCAGACTTGGGGGCAAGGTGTTGGCCCGAAGTGGAGCCTGTTGCTCTTGGGACCTTTGGGAAGTCAGGGTGGGAATAAGAGGGCTTCTCCCTACTTCCTCTCCACCTGCCTCTGTTCACCCTCCAACCTCTTCTGCAGATCCTCAGCCACCGGAAGCCACCCTCCGGTCTAGGGGTGACACCGGCTCCTGTGCCCACCTCTCTCGGTCTGCCCCCTGGCCCCTCCAGCTACCTGCTCCCGGGCAGCCTACCCCTGGGGGGCTGCGGCTCTACCCCTCCCACCCCCACTGGGCTGGCTGCAGCGTCTGACAAGAGAGAGGGCAGCAGCAGCTCCGAGGGACGAGGGGACACAGACAAGGTGAGCTGGGCTTTGGGAGAGGTGGGCTGATGGCGGCCGTTCTGCAGAGAACAGGAGCAGATGCGGACGCAGGGGCCCAGGGAGGATGGCGGAGACCGATGCCAGCGGATGGGGCCTTAGACAAAAAACTGAAGTTGCTGCCTTGTAAGGAGCTAAACCTTCACTCCAGTGGATGAATAGTGAATGGGTGCCAGGCAGATTCCTAACAAATTATTTGTATCTGTGTATAAGTATGTATAGGGGGGGCGAGAAAGCTGTACACACGCCCACGGGCCACCATATGCACTGCGCCCACCCCTCGGGTGCCCGTATCGATCCCTCCCTCCCCATCTTTTTGTCTTAAGGGAAAGGGTGGTTGACAAAAACCAAGCATTTCCTAGATGGAGGGAAGAAGAACGGATGCTGGGCAAATCCGAACAGGTTTTTATTCCATCACACCTGGCTGCTGCTCCCGGGCCTCAGGCCGTTACCTCCTCGGTCAGGTCGGGGCGCCGCTGCGGCCCGGCGGCCAATCGCAGGTGGAGGCGCCGCCCGCCCTTACACGCCTTGCGTGCAGCGTCCGCGGGAAAGCGGGGTGAACCCCAGGAAAAGCCCCACAGGAGGGACGGGCGGGGGCGCAGCTCTCATGGTCCTTGGCGCGGGACGGGCAGGACGGCCCTGTGACCGGCAGCGGGGCCCCGCGCTGCTCGCCACCGCTGTCCCTTGCCACATGGCAGCTGTGGGTAGGGAACAGCCCCCTTTTTCTTTAGAAACCTGCTTCCTGGGGGTTGGGGAGGTTGGGGCAGTTCTCCAGGACACTGGTGGCTCTCCCAGCAGTTCAGGGGACAGTTGGCACCCTTGTCACCTGATCCAAGATGTTGGCCCTCCAGTCCGGAGTGTCCTGCCCTCACCAGGCCTCAGTTCGGTTTCTGTCTTCCCCCAGCCTTGGCTCAGGAAGGCGACCTCCCAGGGTTGGTTTTTAGGCGGACAGTCCCTTGTGCCTGCAGTTAGTCCACGCCAGAGAGAGCGGCTCTGGTTGGAAGCCTCTCTCCTGCTAGAGCTGTCCCCTCTGCCGGCTTTTGCAAAGATCTCACTGGAGGTTGAGGCAGGGGTTAGTTGGAGTTCTCTCAGCTGCTCCCTGTCCTGTCCCCACAGCCGTCACCCTCGGAACAGCCACAGCTCCCCTCGTCTGACTCCTTGTGGCTTTCTGGTGTGTCGCCTCCGCCCTCCCCACGAGGACTGTCCGCAGTTTACAAGTGGCTGCCCCTCGCCCGGGCCGCAGGTGGCGGGACCAGGGCCCTAGCACAAGTGGGCCAGCGCGACGCCCTGAGCCCTGAACTCTCGGCTCGCCTCCCACCCCGCCCACGCTCCTGCAGCGCAGGCCCCCCAGACCTCCCCACCCCGCTGTCCACGCAGGAGCCAGGACAGTGTCAGGGATCCCGTGCTGGGTCTTCTCACTGCCCTGCCAGGAAGCTTTGCCACACGTGCTGCTGCGATCAGAATCGTCTTGAGGGCCTGGTTGAGACAGTCGTAACTCCTTGGCTAGTGTCTTGTCTCCCTACCAGACTGTGAACTGAAAGGGCACAGGACACATGTGTCCTGGTCGTGGCCACCTGGGATGGCCAGAGTCCAGTCTAGAGGACATGCCTGGTGACCTTCAGAGGCCCAGGCGTGGCTTGTGGCCCAGGCAGGCCGAGCAGGACGCCCACCTGCGGGCGCAGCTGGGCAGCCAGGGAGGCTGAGCTGGCAGGCGGGGGCCGGGGGCCGGGGGCCGGCGCTCCCCAGGGGCTCATCTGGCCTCTGCTCTGCCTTTCCCCACGTCGCCGCTGCCACTGCCAGTACCTGAAGAAGCTGCACACGCAGGAGCGGGCGGTGGAGGAGGTGAAGCTGGCCATCAAACCGTACTATCAGAAGAAGGACATCACCAAGGAGGAGTACAAGGACATCCTGAGGAAGGCCGTCCACAAGGTGGGCCCGGAGGGGGACAGACACGCAGAGGCTGGTGTAATACACACTGGAGAGACACGTGTGCGGACCGATGTGCAAGGATGGGGAGGCTGAGGGACGGTGGGTCAGCCCAGAGGGGGCGAGGAGGGTGTCGGGTTTCCTCAATCCCCCCGGGCCTGTTTGGCAGGGGTGTCTGGAGTCAGTAGGGACACTGGCCTGAACATGGGGAGGTGACTCATATCCTAGTCCCTAGCTGTGCTCAGCCGCCCATGGGGATGGGTCCTTGGGGGCTGGCGGTGACCGCAGCTGCCCCTCACTCCCCAGATCTGCCACAGCAAAAGCGGGGAGATCAACCCAGTGAAGGTGAGCAACTTGGTGCGGGCCTACGTCCAACGCTACCGCTACTTCCGCAAGCACGGCCGCAAGCCAGGGGACCCCCCGGGGCCTCCACGGCCGCCCAAGGAGCCAGGGCCCCCTGACAAGGGCGGCCCCGGCCTGCCCCTGCCTCCTCTCTGAGACGCCCAGCCCCACCTCCCTCCTGAGCCTCTTCCGAATTCTGGACGTATTTATGGCTCCGCCTCCCCGCTTCCTCCCCGGTCAGCGGGGTGATTGGGGGAGGGCGGCTGCCCAGCCCCTTGCCCGTCTCCAGGCCTGGCCCCACCGCCCCTCCCCTCTGTTCATGCCCCTCCCCCGATTTCATTAAAAGATTTCATGAAATGTTCCCCCCGAGCCCCATGATTTTAGCTCCTCCTTTTCAGAGAGCAGTTTGGGAAAGGGTTGGGAGGGCCGGGCCGCAGGCTGGGCTCGAGTGCTTGGGTCGGCGGCGGCGAGACCAGACTGGGTGGCAGGACAAGCGCGCTCCCCTCTCTGGGCTGCAGTTTTCTTACCTGATTTGATTTTTTTAGAGAGGCAGGAAGGGAGAAACATCAATTTTTTTTTCCCTACTTTTGTATGCATTTACTGGTTGATTCTTGTATGTGCCCTGACACAGGCTTGAACTCACAGCCTCACTGTATCAGGATGAACTTCTAACCAACTGAGCTACCTGGCCAGGGGCATCTGTATCTATAAAAATGGGTGTTTTGAGTTGTGAGGATTAAGTGAGACCCAGGTGGGCGAAGCACTTAGAGCCCCGCTTGGCACACAGGAAGCCGCTGCTGCTGACAGAGCAGTAGTGACGGGACGCGGGTTCCGGGCCCACCTGGTCGTCGTCTTCCAAGCTCAGGGCAAATAGATGCTACTTGTCCGCCTTTGAAGTGTCAGTCCCCCTCTGAGCTGGATTGCGGTAAAAAACAAAAACATGTCCCCCAAGTCCGATGAGGCTGGGGTGACTGAACCCGCTCTCCAGAGGTGGAGGAAAACAAACACCGCAAGGCCACGTAGTGCACGGCGGCGGTACCCGCCTTCACCCGTGGCCCAGAGCCCGGCCTGGTGAGGGGAAGAGCATGTGGGCTGCGGGGAGGCGGCCTGGAGCTCCTTCCCAGCCCCGGTCCCAGCCCCACGCAGGGGGCAGCCGCAGCCCCGTAAGGAGGACTTGCTGCGGCCATGCAGCAGGAGTGGGACGGGACCCAAGGCCCCCAACAGACAGGAGAGTTTGTGCACGGAGTCCTCTGCGCACTGACCTTGGCCCAGGCTGCCCGCAGGCAAGCCTGGCCTCAGCCGCAGCTCTGAAACCAGACCCGGGTTCCGACCCCACAGCGTTCCCACTTCGTGACCTTTCTTCCTCCCTAAGTCTGTCAAGTAGGGATGCCTGTCCCCTCCCCAGGTCCATGTAAGGGGGCATGGAGGTACGGGTGCTGGCTGCCCCCGCGCCGTGCCTCAGCCTCCTGCACTGAGCGCCTGGGCTGCAGGTGGCTTGCACAGACGTGTAAACTGAGGCCTGAAAAAGGAATAATGCCTGGCTTGGGTCAGGGCTGGCCTGAGGACACCGGACACACAAGGGGTGACAGTGGCAAGAACTAGTTTATTGGTTGAGGCAAGGGGCCTGCACCCGAGCGGCGGGCTCAGACCTGCCCGGTGACCTAGAAGTCCATGTCCTGGACCAGGTCCTGGAGGTAGACCTTGTACTGGTCCGGCGTGAGGGAGAGCGGGTGGCTGTTGGAGATGTGCAGGTCCACCGTGTTCTCCAGCGAGGAGGCGCCCCCTGCCCGGGCCATTTCTAGCAGGGCCCTGAGGCATGTGGGAACCACCTGCAGGTGTGGGAGAAACGCCGTCAGGGAGGGGCACCCAGCGCATCTGCGTAGGGGGTGGGGTTGCAGTTTCCTTGTTCACAACCGCAGGAGGCCAGAGGGGCTCCCAGGAGCCAGGGCTGAGGAGCGGTCAGAAGTCCTGGGGGCCGGAGTTCCTCAGAGGGGCTGCCGGGACTTGGAGTCCACCAACTCCCACATGGCTCTGGGGTTAAGGCCACGGGACTCACAAGTTGTAGTTTCTCAAGGGCAACCTGTTCCCATTGGAGGATCACCCCCTCAGCTCCAGGGGCCCGGGGCTGCAGGCACCTTGACCATCACTAGCTTCTTGGTCCACGGCTGGTCCTGGGGCCACGACTCCCCCAAGCAGAACCAGAGAGTGTAGCGCGGTGAGCGTCCGCTCCCTTCAATGAAGGCGATCAGATCTGGGGTACCAAGAGCCTAGTCAGGGATGGAAGACCTCTACCTGCTAAAACTCCTCCCGCTAAAACCGGAGTAGCACCCCACCTTCTCCTTGGGCCTAAAGCCCGAGACAGCCCTGTCATCAAAGCCCAGGGGCTGGCGCCTCGTGTAAAGCTGCCATGATTCTGGCGCAGACACAGAAGTTCCTTGTGGCTCCCGCCCCCCAGGGTAGGGCTGAGGGTCCGCACCCGCCTGCCTGAGAGCCCTGGCCTCCAGGGCGGGGAACGGCCCAGGAAGGGAACCACTCTCCCTAAGACGGAGAGGCAGCAGGTAGGGCTCTTCCCTCCTCGGGGCCACGCTGCCACCGCGGCTGTTTAAATTGCAACTAATTAAAACACAAAATTTGAAACTCACCACAGTTAAGTGTCATATAGCAGCATGTGGCTAGTGGATACCACACGGGTCAGTGCAGAGAAAGTTCTGTTGGCTAGCAAAGCCCTACAGATCTCACCAGTGTCTGTCCATCCACTGGAATTGGCAGTGGTGACCACGGCTAGGCTGCTAGTTCCCTGAGCCCCTCCTGTGTCGTGGGCCCTGTGTGTCCTACCAGCTCCGGGCAGGCGTGGGGAGAGGGACACACTTGACAGGCTGAGGCGCCACTGCAGGCAGAGCAGCAGGACCCCGAAGGCCTGACCCCGGAGGTCTCAGTCACGGGGCCCACTTTCCGCAGAGCGCGGCCTGCCCCACTCACCTGTCACGAATGGCCCCAGGTCGAACACGCCTCCTTCCTTGTCCTTGGGGACCTCGCCATCAGGCCCGTGACCACTGTCAGGGAGGAGCTCCTCGCCCACAGCCCAGTATGTGTGGCAGTGCCCCAGCCTCCGGGCACAGAGCTGCTGCCCTGCCCTCGACAGAGCTAGTCCCCCGCCCAGGGAGCTCAGCACACGACTCACATAGCCCGCCACGCCTCTGTCTGTCAGGAGCATCCCGGGGTCTGGCAGCAGTACTGGATGCCCCATCAGTGTCCTGTCCCCTGCTTCTGACCCCACCAGCCGCAGGCCGTGTGGGCAGAAGACAGTCTGCTGGAAGACCTGGCGGCCCCGGTAGAAGGCGGTCACCTCAAACTCCCACTCTGAGCAGCAGCAGCAGCAGCAGCAGCAGCGCATAGGAAGAGAGAGAGTAAGGGGATCCGTCACCTCCAACCCAGCCCCTCCCGGCCCACGGCTGGCACTCACCTTCCTCGGGCACCAAGAGCCGCTTCAGTGGGTTCTCAGGGGGTTCCAGGTTTGGGCAGGGAGCAGGGACATCTGAGTTGGGGCTCAGCAACAGCTGAGGGGCGTATTCAGGGACCATAGCCGGGCACAGGGGCCCCTCACTGGAGATCGGGCCCAAGGCCATGTCACTCAGTGTCTCCAGAATGTCTTCCTGGGGAGGGGGAAAAAAGAAGGAGGTTCTGAGCATTTCTTTTTTCAAAAATTTTATTTACTTAAGAGAGGGGGAGGGAGAAATGGAGAGAAACATCAATGTGCGAGGGAAATATCAATTCGTTGCCTCTCGCATGCCCCCAACTAGGGACCTGGCGGGCAACCCAGGCATGTGCCCTGACTGGGAATCGAACCAGTGACCTTTTGGTTTTTGGGACAATGATCAACCCGCTGAGCCACACCAGTCAGGGTGGTTGCAAGCATTTCCGCAGCATTTTCTGGAGACTTCCCATGGACCAGGCCTTGGGCTCACAACGTGGGGACCCAGAGAGGAAACAGTCCTGACCTTGGACCCCAAGGGGCTTCTAGTGTGGAGGGGAGGCAGCCACGGGCACAGGAAGCAGGCTACATGCTGAAAGATACGTCCTGGGGGCTCTGGCAGCCGGGAGGGGAGCAGCTCCCGTATTTTGCGGTGTGTGAGGTACGCTTTTTGCCCAAATTTTCGAAGGAAAAGGACGTGCATTATACATGGGTAGAACAATTACATACCATGGGTATAATAATGGGCATAATAATCTTGTGTATAATAAACACAAAAACACGGGTGCGCATTATACACAGGAGTGAATGATGCCTGGCAAAACCAGTCATTGCAGCCCAGGGCTGTGGCTCTGTGCAAGCAAGACCTGGGAAGAGAAGTCTGGGCCGAATTTCAGAGGGGAATTTTCCTGGCACAGCCATCAGCAAGACAAAGGTTAGGCAGTTTCTGAGTTCCTAAGAGGCTGGAAGGCGAGGAAAGCAATGGAAGGTGTGTTAGGGACCTTAATGCCTGGTGAAAACTGAATTTTCCCCTGAGGGTGCTCGGAAGCCAGGGCAGGGCTGTGAGCAGAAAAGGGGCGTGGTCAGCTCTGGGGCGCCTGAGGGAAAGAAGGGAGGCCAGGGAGGAGGCTGGGGAGATGGGCCAGGGGAGAAGATGAGGCCTGAGCAGGCCCAAGGGGACGCAGAGAGAAGATGGGACAGAGACTGGCACGTTCTTACCTGGATATCAGAGGTGCTGCATCTGCCATCCGTGTCTGGAGAGGTCCCCAGCTCAGGGAGGTCCCCAGCTCCTGGTGAGAGAGGCAGTGATCGGAGAAGGGGTACCGGGGACTTTCCAAACCCCACCCCTCCAGGAAGAGCCCCACTCCCCGCACACCTGAGTTCACGAACTCATAGATCTTGTGCGGGTCTCGGGGGTCCTTGCTCCGGTCCTCGGCTAAACGCAGCCCTTCCTTCCGGTTCAGGGCAGACCTGAAATTCCTCTTCCAGGTCGGTAGGTCCGGCTTATCCTTCCCAGGAGTGTAGGCACCACTGGCCTCCGCCCAGGCCTGGGGAACCAGTGTACGAGGATGGAGGAGAGGATGATTCAGACCCCACCCCAAGACCCTGCCTCCTCCGAGCTGAGCACCGCCCTCTCTCCCCTGGCGCACTGCTAACTTGGCAAGGTTCTATTCCCAAACTCTAGGACTCTCTGTGCCCCAAGTCCCCCTACCCCCACCATTCAAAAATCTTTGCTTTCTAAGCCGACGTTCTGGTCCTACTGGGTGTCTAAGTCTGCCACCAAGCTGCCCAGGGCACCCTCTGTAATAACCCCGCCCCCTCCCCCTCTAACTCAGTTTCCCACCATGGGTGTATCCTAGTGGTGGTCAGTAACCACAGCTTCAGCCCAGTCTAGACTCTCAAGTTAGAAGACCCACCAGCAGAATTCTACCTCCACGTGCCCCGCCCAAAGCAAGCCCTGCACCCCCACGATGCATTTCCTTCGCGGCCTAACTGGTCTAACCCCGCTCTCCCGGTTCTATTCCCGGCCCCTCCAACCCTGCCAGCTATCCAACACCAGTCAAACATTCAAACCCCACCCCATCCCATTCTAACGCTCCCCCCCCCACCCGCCCCGGGAGTCCACCCTACCCTGTGGCAGCTTCAGGTTTCAGCTGCCACACACCTGGAAGATGCCGAAGTCCTCTTGTTGGGTATCCTGCCGCAAGCCGTGCTTCCAGGGGATGCGGAAGCGCGTGCGGCTATGGTCCAGCCAAGCCACACCTTCAAGATGTCCCCCGTCGAGCTGTGACACCAGCCAAGGCAGGATCCGGGGCTTCGGGGTTCCCATGGTCGGGCCTGCGAACAAAGGGCAGTTCGTGGGCGCTGGCGGCCTCAGGCCCACGCGGGGCAAGAGTTCCACACTCACATCATCTCTCAACAGCGCAGGTCCCTCATCTGTATTTTCTTGGGGTACAAACAGACCTCCCATCCTCCAGAGAGGCTCCCCAGTGCAGCGAGGACTCCCTCCCAAGTCCATTTAGACGGCCCTCATTTCCTCAGCTTCTGTGCAGACCCCTCTACCCTCTCTATTCCGCCAGCACAGACCCTTCCCTCTTCCACCATTAACCTCCCCTTCCCTCCATCACCCAGTGCAGGTACCCCAGCTTCCAAGGTGAAACCTAATAGCAGATGCCACTCGTGTGTAGACCCCTACCTGCCACACCTACCCCCTTCCACAGGTCCTCCACCTGAGAGCCGCTCACCCCTTTCCACTGAAGACCTCCACCAACAATTCCCCCGAAACAGCCTCCCTCTTTCAGGGCACGCTCCTTACTTTCGAAAGTGGATTGCCTCCCATCGGCAGAGTACACCCTCCTCTCTCCCCCTCCCCGCTACTTTCCCTAAGTGTTTATTTTTTGTTTGTTTTGTTTTTGCACCGGCCACTGCTTCAGTTTTTCCCCTCCTTGCTTCCCTTTCCCCAATGGACGCAGCCCTCCCCATCCTTCCTCCCATTCCTCACTCCTGGACGCCACCAACTGCCCGGACTCTTCCGCGTTACCTACTCGGAGAGACGGGGCACGCAGGGAGCGGGTGCCCGCTCCCGATTTGGGGGTCCGGTGACTCTCGAACTCTCAGCTGCACACCCCCTTTCCCGTCAGCTGAGACTTAGAGCGGTGGAGTTTTGTTTTCTACCGATTTCTTGAAATCCAAGTGACTTGGGTGAGAAACTCCAAACAGTAGACACCCGAATCCCGGACGTCCCACCCACCCGTGCCCTTATCTAGCCTTCCGTCCCCCGGCATGCTGGGAACGTCACGTGTGAGTTAGGCAACTCCCTAGCTACCCAGCGCTCCGCCTCCTCTACGACAGGGCCGGCACCGTCCAGGCCCAGTGCGCAGGCGCGGAAAGTTGAACTAATAAAAGTTTGTTCGAGTTCGGTGGAGGTGGCGGTAGCGGACCCGGGGACCAGGTGAGTGGGGCGTTAGTGAGGGCCGGGATGAGGCGGGAAGAGGAGAGGGCCGAGATCCAGGACCGAGTACCCCAGTCCCACTTCGACAAACAAGCGTCCCGGGTCCCCAGGATTCTTAGTGAAACTACACCTCCCAGCAGGCTGCGCGGCGATCAGTTGCGGACCAAGTGGAATGTTTACCGTGAAGCCTGCTGGGACTGGTAGTTCCCGTCCTCTAACGGCTTCGGTAGCTTGGCATATGCTCTCGGAATCCAGAAGTCAAAGCCTCAAGCCTCCTTCTCCTTCGGGGACCGGGAGGTCTGAGCACAATCCCCTTCTCTCTTAAACTCAAGAGTTTAGACCCCCAGCCAGCTCTTCCCTTAGACCCAAGAATCCGGTTTCCCAGCCTCTTCCTGTGCCAGGACCCAGAAGCCTTGGTCCTCATCTGGCTTCTCTCTGTGAACCCTAGGGGACTCGAACCAGGACCTCCAGACCTCAATTCCCCTAAAGAACCGGGGAGTTCAGACCCTCAGCCCCTTCCTCCCTTGGGGACTCCCTTCTCATTCACGGTCTAGGAATTTGGGCCCCAAGCCTTCTCTTCCCCTTGAACCCTAGATCCATCGCTCAGCCCCGTCTCTCACAGGCGCCCCCATGGCCGGCTCGGAAGAGCTGGGGCTCCGGGAGGACACGCTGAGGGTCCTAGCTGCTTTCCTTAGGCGGGGTGAGGCTGCCGGGTCCCCCGTCTCAACCCCTCCCAGGTAAGAGGAGTTGCCATCTTCCCGCAGGGACCTGCATTTGGTGTGGGCCGTCTCTAACTCTGGCTTCTGTTCTCTGTCTCCTTTCCCCTCTCTTTCTGTCTGGTTCTAGCTCTTGTCCCTGGGGTGGCAGGAGAGGCCCTGAGTGGGACAAAACAAGGGACTGCTTGCAAGGGGCCTCTGGGGTCACTCTCTGAGGTCCCCTTCCCCAGGAGCCCTGTCCAGGAGGAGCCAACAGACTTCCTGAGCCGCCTCCGAAGATGTCTTCCTTGCTCCTTGGGTCGAGGAGCAGTTCCCCCTGAGTCCCCTCGGCCTTGCTCCCTGCCCCTTCGCTCCTGCTATGGGTCACAGCCTGGTAAGAGATTTCCCTAGCTCACCCGTGAACTTGCAGGGCTAGGATCTTTGATTCCTAAAGCACAGGCAGGATAAGAAACTAGTTCTAGATCACTCAGCTAAGGGCATAGGTAGCTGTGTGGGGTCTCCAATACCCCCACTCACCATTCCATGCGCTGCTGTGTCCCAGTTACGTTGCTGTTTGTCAATTCTGTGGTCCCTTTTCCATTTGTTATCACTCTCCTTCCGTACAGTAGGAAGGCGGGAGACGTGGTTTTCAATCACAACTCCCTAGCTACTTGGTTACACATGACTCAGAAGATCCTTCTCCTCCCTGCTCCTGTGTTTCTCCAGTAGCAAGGTAGGAATGGGGCTTCATTGGACTTAATCAAGAGTGACCAACAGCTTTCCTCTCGTCTGCGGACCTAGGTAGTCTAGTCACGGCTACTGGCAGCGCTAGCTTGCAAAGGACTTCCTAGCTGGGGAGGAGAGTTCTGCGATCAGTTGATGATGCCTGAAACGGAGGAGGGACTGAGGGGTAATAGCTGAAGTGTCATGGGTTTGCCTTCCTTGGATGGGACCATCTTCAAGGTCCAGTTTAGCTCTAACACTCTTAAGTCCATATGGGGCACACCATAAAGCGGAGAGTACAAGGGTCTTTTGCCAGGTTTGCTCACTGGGCCTCAGTTTACCCCATTGTGGAAATGGAAATCACTGTTACCTGGCGAGATGGTTGGGAGGAGAGAATCCATAAGCTTCCTGACGCCCTGGAGACTTATCGTGGGCCCTGTTCACCCCAGGCCCAGCTACTCCAGACTTCTATGCCCTGGTGGCCCAGCGACTAGAAGAGCTGGTCCAAGAGCAACTGAGATCCCCACCCAGCCCAGGTGAGGTGCACCGGGGCCCTGGAGAAGGATGAGGGTAGAAGGGTCGCCAGGGTTCTGCCGCTATCAAATTCTCTTCTGCCCCCCCGCCCAGAGTTACAGGGCCCCCCACCCACAGAGAAGGAAGCCCTGCTGCGGAGGCTGGTGGCCTTGCTGGAAGAGGAGGCAGAAGTCATCAACCAGAAGGTGATGATCAGTCTATTCCATCCCTTAGCTCCGGTGGGAATTGCCTTATGATTTGGACCCTGAGAGCGGAAGCTGGATCTGCATTCTCATTGGATGGTCAGGTGGGGAGAGGGTGGGACCAGGCCTTAATAAAGAGTTGAGTGACAGAGGTATGGCCAGGGCAGTACCTTAAATTTAAGGCTGGCATGGCTCGCTAGAGGGGCGTGGTCTGAAGGCGGGGGTGTGGCCACCAGAAACTAGATCCAGGAAAGAGATTGGGACCAGTTGAGGAAGCGAGAGAGTGCGTCATCGTTGCGGGAGCGGGCTGTGGTTTGAAGAAAACAGTCTAAAATCCGAAGCCCTCGCTGCCTATATAGGGGTATGGCTTAGAATGTGGGGGAAATGAACTGGTTCGGGACTGGAATAGGACAGTGTATGGTCCCATTACATTAATCGTGTGGTTGGAGGTAAGGTGGTTGTAGACGGTGGCTGGCCTGCCGGGCTCTCTCGGGAGACCCCGCCGTGGGTGTGGCTAGCAGACTAGCGTTCAAGAACTCGAGTGGGGCTGGGCTCTCGGTACCAGTTGTCTTGGCCTGGGTAGGGGCGTGGCTTAGCTTCTTGGGTTCATGGCCACCTTCCTGCGGGTAGTTTGACAGAAGCCCGGGAGTCTGGCTTATGATTGGCTGCTGTGATGGAGAGGAGCGTGGCTTAGAACTATGGCATCTAGAAGTCCCTCGAACCAGAAAGCCGAGCCTCCCAGCCTCCTACTGGCTGGCCACAAGGGCGGACCCTGCCTCTTCTCCCTTCCACCCTACAGCTGGCCTCGGACCCGGTCCTGCACCGCAAGCTGGCCCGCCTCTCCGCTGGCTCCTTTAGCCGCCTAGTGGAGCTGTTCTCCAGCCGGGAGGGCAGCCCTCGCCCCTCCTTGCCGTGTCCTGGGCCCCCGCCGCCTTCTCCGGAGCCCCTGGCCCGCCTGGCCCTGGCCATGGAACTGAGCCGCCGCGTGGCCCGGCTGGGGGGCACCCTGGCTGGACTCAGCATAGAGCACGTGCACAGCTTCACGCCTTGGATCCAGGCCCACGGGGGCTGGGTGAGCCTCCCAGGCCTTTCTGGGCCTCACTTTACCTAACCATAACGGGTGGAGGGGCTCCTCTGGTTGCTTTTCAGACATCACAGATATTTTCCCAGCCCTCCCATTCACCTGTTCTGTGTTTATTGCGCACCTACCGTGTGCCAGGCACCGTGGTGATCAGCAGGTGGTTGTGAGGATTAAATGGGATCATCCTCGTAAGTATTTGGCAGGCCGTGGGCATTTGTGCGATTATCTGGAGACAGCCTCGGCACCCCCGCCTGCCGCAGCGCCCTTGCCCAGGTGTCCCCCGCCTCCCTGCCTCTGCTGTGCTCAGGTATTACCCCCAGGGAGGCCTTCCCTGGTCCACATTTAAGAACGCAGCCACACCCTGGCTGGCGTGGCTCAGTAGGTTGAGTGCCCACCTGTGAAGCAAAGGGTCGCCCGTTCGATTCCCAGGCAGGGCACATGCCTGGGTTGCGGGCCAGGTCCCCGGTTCCGGGTGTGTGAGAGGCCACCACACATGGATGTTTCTCTCCCTGTCTTTCTCCTTCCCTTTCCCTCTCTCTACAAATAAATAATATCTTTTAAAAATAAAATTAAACCGCAGCCACCTCCACACCCTCCCACGCACTCCCCGTCCCTCTTTCCTGCCTTCCATAGCTCTCTGCACCTTCTAGCAGGTGGTAGAAATGCCTAGAATTTACTCAGACTTTCCCTTGCCTTCCCCTGCCCCTGACCAGGGAGCCTTCCCTCGCTCACTGTGTTCGGTGCAGTGCCAGACTCGGCGCCGGACTGCGCCCGTGTTCCGGCTGTGGGGCCTTGGCCACTGCCCCCGCTCCCCCGAGCACTTGTGTGTCCCGGCCCAGCGGCCCCCCTCGCTGGCCTCGCTGCCGTGGGGATGCAGTCATAGAAGGCTGTGTGCCAGCGCCTCGGAATGTAATCATTGAGTCCCAGGCCGGCAGGAGCTGGCCAGGTGTGTTTGAGGAGCAGAGGGGAAGGGCTGGAGTGGGGTGAGCAGGGTGAGCAAGGCGAGCCAGGAGAGGGACGGCGTTGACAGCAGGAGGGGCGGCCAGGTCGTGCAGGGCCTGTGGTCACGGTGGAAACTGGGAGTTGGACTCCAAATGGGCCTAGAGTCGCTGCAGGGCTCCGGGCAGGGGACAAGAAGGGGCTTAGGTGTTAACAGCGCCCTCTGGCGGCGGCGCGGGGAACACCCTGGGAGGAGGGCAGAAGTAGGGAGCATGGAGGGCGCGGCTGTGCTGGTCCAGCGCGGAGATGAGGGTGGGTCAGACCACGGTGGGGGCGGTGGAAGGTTCTGGATTTAATTTGGAAATAGAGATGACAGATGTTGCTAACGGAGTGGATGTGGGGACTGAGTGGCAGGCAAAAGTCAGGGAAGGTGGCCGGGGCACCTGCTGGGCTACACCTGCTCTTCCCCAAGATGAACGGGGAGCAGGCTTGGGGAAGAGTCAGAGGTGGTCGGAAGCGGTCCAGTTAAGCGGAGATGCCCTCCGACCTCAGCAAGATGATGAGGACACGGGGGACATAAGAGCCTGGAACACGACCCAGAGGCTTGTTGATTTTGTAAGGAATGCTAAGAGGTGAGCTTGGCCAAGCATTTGCCAAGCACTACGGTGGGATGATCCCAGTTAAGCCTCACACCAGCCTTGTGGGGCCCGGTTATGGTCCGGGTCGTAGGGAGGCCGAGGGGGAAGTCCTCCTGCAGGGGACCAGCGTCACCTCTGACACAGGGCCAGGGCTCTTAGTCCTTAAAAACCCCAGCACCCTGTCTTCCTCTCCCCGGGGCTCAGTCTCCGCTCCCCTCCCCCCCAGTGCTCCGTCCACCACTTGGGCGCTGTCTCTCTTTTCCCGAGGACGCCGTCCCTGCCCGCCCCCAGGTCTCTGACGCTCGCTCTGGGTCTCCGTCCCCTGACGCCGGGTTTCCCTCTCCAGTGCCTTGCCTCCCCTGTCTCAGCTGTCACTGGGCTGGTACGGATCCTGCTGTGACCAGAGGGCGCCCCCGCTTAGGAGGCTCTGCCGCTCTTCCCTGCAGGAGGGCATCCTGGCAGTTTCGCCCGTGGACCTGAACTTCCCCCTGGACTGAGATCCTCCTCAGCAGCTGCTGCAAGATTGAACCTCAGGTCCCCGGGCTCCCTCGTGTGCATCTCAAGCCTTCCTGTTCTACTCAGGACTGTGGGGCGGTGGCTTCCCGCCCTGGTTTTGCCAAAAAGAAATTGTTTATTTTTTTTCCATATTAAAAGCTTTTTCATATATTTAATTATTTGTCCTTTTTTTTCAAGAACTAAACGTCTAAGTGGGGGAGGTTTGGTTCAGAGATCTCTCTGGGTTATAAATTGAGGAAAGAGCCAATTCATTTTAGAAATGTTTATGTGGAGCACTTGTAAGTATCTGTTGCCGAACATAGAGTATATCTGAGGATATCTCTGTAAATATGATTCCAGCTAGCTACATTTCCCCCTGTTGCACGATCTATTCCAGCTCCCCCATGTTGATGCTATGGGATCTTTCTGGCTCATTCCAGAAGGAAGCTGTGCGCTTACTTCACGGGGCATCGTCTTCTCTCTTTTCTACCCCCGTGCTCCTTCTGAGCCTTTTTTGCTGGCTCCTCCTCATCTCCCTGGAGACTCTGGGTTCCTCACCACTTTGGGGGGCAGCTGTTTCACAGTATTATGTTTGTAAACGCATACAACGAAATGTGCAGGATTATAAGGGACACCATTACAGTCCACCCTCACTATTTGCATGTACTCTATTTGGGGATTCGCCTGTGCACTGACATTGATGTGTAATCCCCAAATTAATACTCAGGAGTCCTGGCTGGTGTGGCTCAGAAAGGTTGCCGGTTTGATTCCCGCCAGGGCACATGCTCTGGGTTGTGGGTTCAGGAAGCAACCAATCCATGTTTCCCACATCAAAGTTTCTCTCTCTCTCTTTCTCCCCCCCTTCCCCCATCTCTTGAGTGAGAATAAAGTAAATCCTGGTTGTGGGCACGACCGTGGGCGGAGCTGCAGAAGGTTTGACTCGCCTGAGCACCTCTTCTCGGCTAAGGCTGGCCAAGCGATAGGTAAACGTGTCCTGTCCTCAATCTATCTAGTGCCCCATATTTTTGCATTTTTCTGCTTTTTTGGTAATGATTTTGCTGTTCAAAAGGGCCTCGAGCATAGCACTGAATTGTCTAGTGCTCCTAAGTGCTGGAAGGCTGTCGTGTGCCTTGCTTAGGGGAGCTTCATCCCAGCCTGAGTTACTGTGCTCTTGGCTATGAGTTCAGTGTGTGCGAACTAACTGTGCATGAAATAAAGTGTCCAAGCAGGAATCACACATAAAATAAGGTTATGTGTGGGACGGTTGACAAACGTGTTGTGAGGAGAGGTTCGCAAGAACCTGACCCTGTATTTCCCCAGAAACAGTGCATCAGTATTTGCTAAGTCACTGTTCGCACAGACTTTATAGGACAGAACTACCACAAATAATAAGAATCAGCTGGCCCTGGCCAGGTAGCTCAGCTGGTTAGAGCATTGCCCTGATACACTAAGGTTACAGGTGGCGTCTCTGGTCAGGGCACATACAAGGAGCAACCAATGAGTGCATGGGTGGGTGGGACCACAGATCAATATTTCTCTCCATCTCTCTTTCTCAAATCAATAAATACAAATTAAAAAAAGTTCTCATCACAAAATTTTTTTAAAAAAAGACTTGATTGTCCCTGGCCCAGTAGCTCAGTTGGTTAGAACATCATCCTAATATGCCAAGGTCGCAGGTTTGATCCCTGGTTAGGGCACATATAAGAATCAACCAGTGAACGCATAGGTAAGTGGAACAACAAATCTCTCTCCTTCTGTCTCAAATGAATAAAGAAAAAAAGAAAAAAAAAGAATTGACTATATATTGAAATAGGGTTTTCAATATTAATATAAAATTAGTGGTATAATAATAGGCATGCCTCTTCATTAACATTAATTACAAAGACCTAGAATGGGTCTAATAACCCTGTTTCTAAGTAGAGGCAGGTGTGACATTTTCAGATGCATAATTGCTCTTTTGGTGGTGACAAGTCACAGATATAGCAGCTTACAATCACATTTGTCAGTCACACTCTCTGTGGGTCAGGGAAGCGGGTGCAGGTGAGCTGGGTGCTCTGCTCAGGGTCTGCTCCGGCTGCGGTCAAGATCTCACCTTCCCTCTCCTGGGAGGATCAGGGTCCTCTTCCCTGCCCATGTGGCTGGTAGCAGACTTCATATCCTTGCAGCTGTCTCCCGGCGCTGGCCCAGCAGGAGAATGGCTGTGACCTCAGGAGACCCAGACCCCCTGTCAAAAGGGCTCCCACCTAATTAAGTCAGGCTCACCCAGGAAGATCTCTCTTTGGATTAATTTAAAGTTAACTGGTTGGGGGCCTTAATGAAATCTGCAAAATCAATCCACCCACACCCTGGCTGGTGTGGCTCAGTGGATTCAGTGCTGGCCTCCAAACCCAAAGGTCGCTGGTTTGATTCCCGGTCAGGGCCCAGGCCTGGGTTGCGGGCCAGGTGCCTGGTTGGGGGCGCGCCTTAGTTTGAACTTGCCATAGCTCTTTGTTCAACTGCCGCACGTGGTAAGTGTCAGCCAATGTGGAAAATGCAGGATTTGATGCTGACGTCTTCCCCGTTTCTGACTACAGGCCCAGGCTTCTGCCCTGAACTTTATATTCATGCATCCCCCTGCCTAATGCCCTGTTTGTTTTCAATGACATTAGGTTATTTCCTAATGTGGTATAAATAGTTATAAATGTTTGTTATTTTTTTTAAAAAGATTTTATTTATATACTTTCAGAGAGGGGAAGGGAGGGAGAGAAACATCAACATGTGGATGCATCTCGCACCCCCTGCTGGGGACCTGGTCTTGCAACCCAGGGAATCGAACCTCCAGGTTCGCAGGCCGGTGCCCAATCCACTGAGCCACATCAGCCAGTGCTAAATTTTTGTTCTTAGTAGCAGTGCAGTGTAGAAGTATTTGATCAGGTAAAAATACAGTACTTGGAAACCAGGAAAAAAAATCTTGCTGAAACAGTTGGAAAAATGGCAAAAACAAACAAACCTGAATGTGAACTCATACAGCATACAAAGTAGGGGTCAAGATCTGAACTCTGACTATTTGATTATTTGGACTTCATGAAAATTTAAAAATCTCTGCTCTTCAAAAGACAACATTAAGAAAATGAACCTTAGCTGGTGTGGCTCAGTGGACTGAGCACCAGTCTGTGGAGCCAAAGGTTGCGGGTTCGATACCTGGTCAGGGCACATGCCCAGGTTGCAGGTGGGTCCCCAGTTGGGGGCATGCAAGAGGCAACCAATAGATATTTCACGCAGTGATGATTTTCTCCCTCCTTTCCCTTCTCTCTAAAAATAAATTTAAAAAATATATTTTTTAAAAGAAGCAAATGAAAAGACATATCACAGATTGGGAGAAAATATTTAAGGTACCTGACAGAGACCTGTATCTGAAACTATAACAAATGTTTTCAATTTGTGAATGAAGAAAAAATATCATTTTTAAAAATAAGCACAAGACTTGAGCAGGCACTTTATAAAAAGAAGGTATACCAATGGTCAATAAGCACCTGAAAAGATGCTCAGTAATAGTGGTCAGAGCGATATACATGACAGCCCTTCGTACACTGGGATAGCTCTTTGTACCCTCTAAACTGATGAAAAACAAAGACTCAAGTGCTGGCCAGGATGTAGAGCAACTGCAACTCTGCGCATCTCTAATAGGAATGCAAAATGGTAGAACGCACTGGAAAACATTTTTGGCAGTTTCTTATCCAGTGAAACATACACTTAGCATACAACTCTGCCATCTGCTCGTAGGTTTACCCAAGAGAAATGACAAAGTGTCCTGTTCCCAGAGACTTGTACATGAACCTTCAAAGCCACTTTGTTTATAATAGCCCCAATCTGAACATCGCCCGGATGTCAGGTATCTGTCAACAGGAAAATGGATAAACAAACTATGATACTGTTACCAAACTCAAGGAGTTCTGCACGTCCGCAACTTCCCAGCATGTAGTTCTCCATTCAACAATGAAACATAGTTGTTGCAAGATTACTTCAAGCAAGTAAAGGAGATGGGATTCATATACAAAGCTCTGCCTCCCCAAAGGCAGCTTAGCTATATGGCTCATACACACTATTTGGTCAATTACATGTTGATTTCTTTTTGCACTGGCTACACTTATCATGTTGACTTCTCGTCCAACTAATCCTTGTTTTTCAGCTGCATGCTACATTGTAACACTTACCAAGAATAACAGTAGTAACATTTAGAACTGCCCAGACCTTGAGACCCTTGTCCTAACAATATACCCATACAGTAGCATACTCCTCAGCAGTAAGGATTGAACAACCTTTATATACAACTCGAACGAATCTCAAAAACATTATGCAGAGTGAAAGACACAAGAAAGTACATACTGTATAATTCCATTCAGAGAAGACTTTAGCAAAGGAAAAACTACAGTGACAGAAAATAGAATGATTGCATCGGGGATTGGGTGGTGTAGGTATTGACTGGAAAGTGTTATGAAGGAAACTTCTTTGGTGATGAGTATTTTCTACGAGTTGCATTCATTTTAACTCAACTGGCAACTTTTTCTACAAATCAAGTAGAAAAGCTTCCTGGAGGAGATGATGTCTAAGCTGTGCCCTGATTGATATACAGGAGTTGGCTGACAAAGGGAAGTTGGTGTTCCCGGTAGGAGGAGGGACTTGGTAAAGGCCAAGTGGTTTGAGTAGGGTTGGTGGGTTTTAAAAACTTGGAAGTAAAGGGCTAGGGTTTAAATGTCTTGACGCCTGAGTCCTATTCCCGACTTGGTTCGGGACCCTGGACGAGCTCTCCCTCTCTTTGGATTTCTGATTGCTTCAGATTTTTTCCTCAGTAAATGGGCATGATCTCCCTTGTTCCTCCAAGACTCCCTTGGGGCTGAGAGATTCCACCGAATGGACGATGAGTGACAGTTCTTTTGAGCCAATCGTTGGAGGCAAAAGCCCTTCCTCCTCCTGGGCCGTCGCCCTGTTCTTGAGACCAGCAGCTTAGCTAGAGCTAGCCAAAGACCTCAGGACGTCACATTTTGGGTAAACCAGTAGCAGTTAGTGAGAGGCGGGTCACTTTGGTGATGGACAGATCTATTTCAAAATGTCCGCTAGCGCGGGGCCAGCCGGGAAGCTTTGGGGCGGTGCTGGGAGGGAAAGGGGCGGGAATTTC